AGCCATAGCGAACAGGCGGACAAGATCCAGTAGATTGTAGACCGAGGACAAGGTCGACGGCCGTTGCGGCAGAGGCGTTGGGACACAGTCCGGGAATTGCCGACCCCAAATATACGCTGGCAAAAGGCACTTGGACAAAAGTTTTGAATTTCACCCGTTCTCCTCCGCCCTTTCCTCCTCTCCTCCTCCTTCACGGCCACAAAATATTCTATGGCTGCCCGTATCGCCTTTTCTCGTGCCGCGCCCTCTCTGGCTGGTCTGCGAACAGCACGGTCGTCGCAATGCGCGCGTAGGGTTGTCTTCTTCGCTCGCGGTTATGCGTCCGAGCCCGAACATACTGTCAGTTATCATTGGCGTCTACGACGGTTTCTAGCCATATATTGACTCAAGACCCCCTTCAGATGACTGTTCGCGATGCTCTCAACACGGCCATGGAGGAGGAAATGACCCGTGACAGCACAGTCTTCGTAATCGGTGAAGAGGTTGCAAGGTACAACGGCGCGTACAAGGTGTGTACACTTGCAATCTCTAGAAAGCGCAAGCATCCATTTACACACTTCCCCAGGTCACCAAGGGGCTCCTCGACAAATTTGGCGAGAAGCGGGTGGTCGACACGCCAATTACTGAAATGGGTTTCGCGGGTTTGGCAGTCGGCGCTGCCCTCTCTGGCCTCCGACCAATGTTTGTCGTGTCATCCGTCTCCAGGAGCATCATGCTAACCTTCTGGAACGTTTAGATGCGAGTTCATGACGTTCAACTTCGCAATGCAGGCAATAGACCAAATCGTCAACTCCGCAGGAAAGACGTACTACATGTCTGGCGGAAACGTGCCCTGTCCCGTCGTTTTCCGTGGTCCCAACGGTGCTGCTGCTGGTGTAGCAGCCCAACATTCCCAGGACTACGCTGCGTGGTACGGCTCAGTTCCCGGCCTGAAGGTCGTGAGCCCTTGGAGCGCAGAAGACTGCAAAGGTTTATTGAAGGTATGATGCGTCTGCACCCGCAGCTGCGACAAGTACTTAAAATAATTTTCTAGTCTGCGATCCGTGACCCTAACCCTGTCGTGTTCCTCGAGAACGAGATGCTTTACGGTGTCTCCTTCCCCATGTCCACAAAGGCCATGTCGGACGACTTCCTTCTCCCCATCGGCAAATGCAAGGTCGAGCGTGAAGGCTCCGATGTCACCCTCGTCGCACACAGCTTGCAGGTCACACATTGTATGGAGGCTGCAGAGTCGTTAGCGAAGGAGGGCATCAAGGCCGAAGTTATCAACCTCCGCAGCATTCGTCCGTTAGACATTGAGACCATCATCAAATCGGTCAAGAAGACCAACAGGTGTGTACATGCCTGCTGGCACGTTTCGAGTTAGTACTTACGCATGTCTTCTAGACTTGTTATTGTGGAAGGTGGCTTCCCTGCGTTCGGTGTGGGCAGCGAGATTTGCGCACAGATCGTCGAGAGCGAAGCCTTCGACTACCTGGACGCGCCCGTCGAGCGTGTCACTGGTGCCGACGTACCTACTCCTGTAAGGCATCCGTTTGTTACACCTGAGTATGCCGCCCTAACGTCTTGACCCCCTGCAGTACGCCGCCAACCTCGAGGCACTTGCCTTCCCCGACGTCCCCATCATCGTCAAGGTCGCAAAACGCGCGCTCTACCGGACGAACTAGACGCTCTTCTGGTCATGCAGTCGCTCCTATATAGTTAGGTATCCTATAGACTTTTTCATTTGGGTGTCCATGAGCTTTGGGAGGAGCACTACGGTCGTTTTTGTCGTTTGCACATTGTCTACATTTCAGTGATAATACAGCTGCAAGGCCCACTTCTAATCCTAATTTCCGCCTGAGATGATACAACAGTTGATTTTACCGGTTTGGCCGTCCGGCTTTTACGATCTGGGGGCAGCTATCCGCGACTTAGGCTGCCCGTAGACGGATGCGCACAGCGTTTGCGTGGGCTTGAAGTCCTTCGCAGTCGGCGAGCGTAGCGACGACGGGTCCGAGCTTTTGCAGTCCGCTGGCCGTGATCTCTTGCGACGTGATGTGCTTCTGGAAAGAAAGCGTGTTGACCCCGCTGAACTGACGCGCGTAGCCATTTGTCGGGAGCGTGTGGTTGGTGCCCGACGCGTAGTCGCCACAACTGCAGACGTGTTAGAATGTAATCAGGATAATCAATAAATTGAATGCACGAACCTTTCTGGGGAGTATGGGCCGACGAAGATGCTGCCAGCGTTGTCAATGGAGGCTACCCGCTGCGGCGCGTCTTTCAGGTGGAGGATAAGATGTTCCGGTGCGTAGTCGTTGGAGAACGCGATAGCCTCCTCGGTGGACGATGCCTTTACGATGATACTTCGTGCGACGGACTGCCGCACAATGTCTACGCGGGAGAGCGCGCGGGCCTGTTCGTCTACTTCCCGCTCGATGGCAGCAATCTCATCAGAGGACAGGTTCACGCCGACGAGGACGACTTGGGAGTCGATGCCGTGCTCTGCTTGCGAGAGAAGATCGGCAGCGACGAACGCGGGGTTCGCTGTGTAGTCTGCAATTACCTGGCGAAGACGATACAGTCAGTAAATATAGCGGGAATGAATATGGGGGAGTCACTAACAAGGACTTCAGAAGGCCCCGCAGGCATGTCAATCGACACCAGCGCATCGGTGTCATTCTGAACGAGCATCTTCGCAGCAGTCACCCATTGATTCCCAGGCCCGAAGATTTTGTCAACCTTCGGCACCGTCTGCGTGCCGTACGCCATCGCAGCGACCGCCTGGCCTCCCCCAGCCTTCAATACCGCGCTCGCCCCGACCAAGTGCGCGACATACATCACTTCCGGCGATATGCTGCCGTCGGGCCGCGGGGGCGTTGCCAGCACGACCTCCTTGCACCCGGCGACCTGCGCGGGTATGCCGAGCATGAGCGCGGTGGAGGGGAGGATCGCGGTGCCGCCGGGGACGTACAGCCCCACACGCGCGATGGGCCGCGCGAAGCGCGAGCACACGACGCCGGGCATCGTCTCGACGACGAGCGGCGCGCGCTCGAGCTGCGCCTCGTGGAACGTCCTGATGTTCTGGTACGCGGTGTCAATCGCGGCTCGCACAGGCGCGTCGAGCACCATGGACTCGGGCGCGTATGGCGGGAAGAGGACGGTGGAGGTGAGCTGCGCCTTGTCGAATTTTGCGGTGAGCTCGAGGAGGGCGGCGTCCCCGCGGACGCGCACGTCGTCGACGATGGGCTTCACTTTCGAGATCATCTCGTCGGATTTGAGCACGGGGCGGCGGAGGAGCTGCGTGCGCTCCGCTGGCGAGATGGTGGATAGATCGGACGTGCGCATCCGGATGGGGGCGCTGGGGTCGAACGATGGGCCGGGCACTGGCGGTGGTTCTACCTTGGGAGGGGGCGAAGGTTTCGAGGACCACTGGGGCTTTGCATTGCCAGCTCTCCGCGTGATCTTTTTCGCCTTCTGGTCTAGCGAGTGCTCTATATCCGCAATGCCAACGCCTGCAGCCACACATCGTGTGAGCGCAAAGTACAGTAAATCGGCAGCTTCGAATGCGACTTCTTCTTTGGTCTCGGCACGGCACAGCTCATCCGCCTCCTCCATGATTTTTGACCGCAGGAGCTCTTGATCGTCGAAGAGCCGTTTTGTGTAAGATCCCGGGACGGCCGAGTGCAATCGTGACTTCAAAGTGTTTTCCAGGGCAGACAGTCCGTTGACCTCTCCGAAGCAAGAAGTCCGATCCAGATGGCAGAACCCTGCACCGTGCTGGACAACGCTGAATTCGAGACAGTCCGAGTCACAGTCCAAACGGATACGGACGACGTCCTGTGTAGCGCCGGATGTCTCGCCTTTGCGCCACAATCCGTGCTTCCGTGACTGATAGACGCCCTTTCCGGTGAGGATACTCTCGGTGACGGACGCAGTAGACGAGTATACGAGGCCGAGGGAGCGACCGCCCTGAGGGTACGAGGATACGACCGTTGGGAACAGACCATCCGGGCGATCCGAGACGACAGGAGCGAGGAATGCATCCGCGATGTTCATCTGAGCGGGCGAGGACGCGGAGGTCGTGAGCTGCGCCGTCGGTATGACGAGCCGCGCGTTTATACCCAAGAGCTCCCTGATCGTTGAAGGAGACGGCGGAGAATTTGTCGCGGGTAGGACGTATATGTCTGCACCGGTGAAGAATCTCGAGATAGACGTGATAAGATCGAGGTCGGCAACGGCTGTCTTTAGCAGGACGCCGGATACACCACTGCGGACTGTGTCGGAGACCGCACTGACATTACCTGCGTCGAGGAGTAGGACGAGGCGCTCCGCGGGGATGACGCTGATGAGCTCCTTCGCGCGTGCCAAAGGCACGATGACCTTCTCCGCGCCGGCGTCGAGCCATGAGATGATTTCCTCGACGTCTGTGGGACCCTCATGGTCTGCGAGAATGTAATAGTCGCATATGATAGGCAGTGTATCTAGGGATTGTCCTGCAGGCACAATGACTGGGCCTATGCGAGCGAGGACCTCGTACAGGTCCGCGTCCTCAGGGTCGAGGAGGGGCAAGAATACCGACATTCTGCGGTAGAAAAATCAGGATTCAGCTCCATTTCACTTGCGGTATGTTTGCGGGTAGAGAACGTACCGGAAACCTGTTTTCAGCGGCTGAAGGCCAGAAAGTTGTGGAATCGAGTGAGAGTGTAAATTAGAGTCATGTTAGCGGAAATCGGAAGCAAGACTTTTTCTGCCACGTGCGGTATGTCGTCAGTAAGTTCAATTTCAAATTACTGCCTCTGTGTAAGGCGACTCTACGCCAGCTTGCAGGTTTGCGGATGGCAGATGAGAGTACTGATACTTATGTAGCATAATGGCCCATATATGTGGGCATTTATCTAAATGCATGTGCGTAGCGCACCTGCTGAGGACTTGCGTAAGTAACAGCCGGTGCAAGCGACATAGAAATAAAATATGTTTCCCTCCAAGTCGAGTACAGTAAAATAAACTCTGAGTGCATCGGTTGTGTAGTGTAATGGTTATCACCCCAGATTCTGATGAGACGCGCCGACCGGTGCAATCAGGTCTTCTGGTGATCCAGGTTCGATCCCTGGCACGACCTTAAATTTTTGCAAGGCACCTGTTTGCTTGCGAACAGACGTTGTTGTGCGGTTTTATCATCGGCATCACGCCTGCGATTGATGAGCCAGGGCTTTTGTAAACCTATCGAGTGCCTCAGAGTCAACGGCAATCATTAAAATCTAATTTTTGCCATTTCTGGGGAAAGCGGTTGTTTGAACCTATTTGCCCGCACCAGCCCGGCCTCAATTGGATTTGCCCCTGATGCCACCCCGATACGTTTGCAGTTGACCACCATGAACTACACGCCTCGATACGCGCAGCCTTTTACCCTCGAGCAAGCGATCCTCCTCGACGTGCCCGTAATTACCGAAGGTCGCCTCCAAGTCTCCGCTACTCTTTCTGTCCAGCCTTGAATGAACGCCACCCGTCTACAGAGATCGCGCGGCTGGAGAATTCCTTGGCGCGCCTCAAGAGCACGCAGGAGATGTTGCGGGAGCACCTTTCTATGGAGGAGTCCGAACCAGATCCGGAGCTCTCAGAAGCGCTCGCGGAGAACGAGCTTGTGATGTGCGTTCTGGCGTCTCCTCCCTCTCTCACCATGTACGCGCGTTCTCAGCATCACGGTCACAGTGGCTCGCAGGAGGAGCGAATAGGGATACTGAAGATCGCGCTGACGCATAAGGGCATTACGACGAGCGCGCATTATGATACGAGCACACCGCCGCCTACTGCTACGCGACCACCAGCACCTGTGAACGGTGTGAACGGTGCTAGTGAAACGCATAACGGAACTGAAGACGACGACGAGGGCGTTTACTTGTAGCTTTACATGCCAGCAGGGTATTGTCCGTATGTTCTTTGTCTTGTATTTCTCCAAACAAATTGTACGAATTTCTTGAAATCAGGTTTGAAATGCGAACGTGGCAGGGACGCGATCGTCCGCCGCTCGACGTCATTGCTCGACAATACCATTTTGTTGATATTTTGCGGCGACGATCTGCTTTTCATCCTTCGAAGTGAACCACCATGTCGCCCATCTACATTCCGTCGTTTTTCCTTGCGATTCCTCGTAACTCTGTCACAGCCGTCGGGCTCCCGCTCGGTCTGGGCATCCTGTGTGGTTCAATGACCGCGAAAGTCGTGCGCGGCGAGTGGTACAAGGTCCGTGCTTCTGTTATATACCTATGGTAGTCACTGACGGAGTGCTTTAGAGCTTGTACACCCCACCCGGGCGCCCACCCAGACAGGTCTTTCCCGTCGTCTGGCCGCTGCTTTACATATGTGTGTTTAAGGCTTCATAATGTTTTTGCAAAAGGCTGACACGCGTAATTAGCTATGGGATACGCATCGCACGTCGCCGTCAAAGCCCTCGACGCGACTGTTCTCGAGTCTACTCGGTACGTGTGCCCACAGAATTTTACGCGTCTTCCACTGCGATATTGATGCCAATTGATCAGTTCCAAACTCTCGCTGGGCATCGCGTTGTATTACGCCCAGTTAGGCATGAATTGCCTTTGGTCGCCTCTATTCTTCGGCGCGCGCGAAGTACGCAGTCCATCCTACGTCCAGTATGTATCATCGGCACTGATTAATCGTCAACAGATTGGATGGGCCTTCGTCGATAGCATCGCTCTCGCTGGAACCACGTTCTACATGACCGTACGTTCATGCCACCTTCACCTTGTACAGATACTAATACTCTGCGCTCGCGACAGAGCATTCTGAATAAACCGACCGCGTCCCAGACGACTTACGCGCTCTTGCCGTACTGCGCGTGGCTCTCGTACGCGACGTACCTCAACGGAGGCATCTGGTGGTTGAACCGTGGTCGCAGGTCGCTGAAGAAGTTGTAAGGATGGGGCATTGTTGCTTTGGTATAAGTGCATCGGTTCTAGAGTGTACAAACATGTGATGAAACAATGCGGTCGGAGCAAGCCATATGCATTGCGCCCCTCTTGTGTTTGACTGTGTCAACATCGCATATGACAACGTGAGATCTGTATGTCTAGTCTCATAACTGGTGTTCTGTCTTGCTACGGTACCGTATTGCAATTGGAGGAGACGGGAGCAGGTTTGGAGCAAGGTGCCAATGCCGCGAATTCGAAGCCACGTGGGACGGAGGTAAAAAGGAACCAAGTTGAAATCAGCGAAATTGCCTCACTGCGACGACCGGCTTAACTTGGCTTCAACCACAAAAACTATACACTGGCACGAAAGCTTTATAGCTCGCAATCGTCGACAATGTGTACCCTAAAGCTTAGAACAAGCCCTTGTACTGCTACAATATAACGCCCAAGATGGACAACAAAAATCTGGGCAGGACAGAGAACAATGGCGGCCTCGCGGTCGAGGAAGCACAGGAGCACATTGTTACCGTCCGGGCCCTTTGAGTAAGTAGACGTTACCGACCACTATATATACCCCCGTCTACATGTTTGCAATGCCCCATATTTCTCTTGTTTCTCCTCTACATCCTCCTCCGCTCCTTAGACAATGCCCCGTCTCTCCCTCCTCGCCGCCGCCATACTCCCGCTCGCTGTGCTCGGCGGGAACCAGCACCACGGTTCCGCCCGCAGGCACTCTAGCATCCACGCAGCGCGCGGACCAGCGTACACACAGACCGACTACTACAAGGGCAACGACTTCCTCACGTCAGTGGTCTTCGGCGCGTCGTGGAGTGTCCTGTGGTACTGACAGACGCGACAGTGAATGGGATTTCTTCTCTGGGAGCGACCCGACGAACGGTGTCGTCAACTACCTCACTAAGGACGACGCCGTCAAGAAGGGCCTCGCGTATGTGCAGTCGGACAACACCACTGTCCTTGCTGTCGACTCTACCACGCAGCTTAGTCCCGGTCAGAATCGCGATTCGTGAGTGCCTTTCGTGACAGCCTCTGCCAGACCCAGTATTGACAGCGGTATATGCTGGCAGTGTCCGTATCGCTACCAAGAAGAAGTACAGCGGTGGATTGTTCATCGCGGACTTCTGGGCAGCCGCTACTGGTTGCGGTACTTGGCCCGCGTACTGGTCGGTTGTAAGTCGAATCGCCGACAACTATCTTTTGTGCATGATCCTCAATGTCTTGATTATCTGCAGGGACCTACATGGCCTGATGCTGGCGTAAGTCCTCTCTGTTCGTGACCATCTTCGTCGCTGACTTTCTGTTCCAGGAAATCGACATCATGGAAGGTGTCAACGGCCACGGCACGAACCAAATGACCCTCCACACCGGCGATGGCTGCACCCTCGACAACAACACCATCAACCAGGCCAACGCGAACGGGAACGGCGGCAACCAGCTCTTCACCGCGAACATCCTCGGCACGCAGTGCCGCAGCTCGGACGGCGCGAACGCCGGCTGCGCGTTCCTCGACACGGATGCGCGCAGCTTCGGGCCCGCGTTCAACCAGGCCGGCGGGGGCGTGTACGCGCATCTGTGGGACGACTCCGGCATCAAGATCTGGCACTTTGCGCGCGCGGAGATACCGCAGGACATCACCGCCGGCAACCCGAACCCCGCGTCGTGGCCGACGCCGGCGGCGAACTGGCGCTCGGCGACGTGCGACATGCAGAGCCACTTCCACGACCACACGCTAACTATCGACACCACCCTGTGCGGCGGGTGGGGCGAATGTATGTCTCCTTTTACTGGCGTATAGGTTGATGTTGACTGAGCGTTATTTTATAGCTGCGTACAGCCAGTCCACCTGCCCGGGCACCTGCGCTCAGGCCGTCGCGGATCCCAACAACTTCGTTGGTATGTGTTCCTGTTGTCCTTACGCCGCCATATCGTCGCTGACCCCCCATTGTAGACGCCAAATGGAAGATCAACTACGTCGCCGTCTACAACGGCGTCACCTCCAACTAATCCAGCGTCCCTCACCATCTTACGAACCATCATCATCAACACACAGCACATCAACAGCACCTTCACTGTACCTAATACACACACACCAGCATCCTAGAGGCCTTTCTGCACATGCACATTTACGCCCGTCACGCCATATACTACTCGCCGACGCCTACGCGTCGGCTTATTCGTGTTGCTTATGCACTACACGCTGGATCCGCGGCTGGTACTGATCTATTTAATCGCTACTTACTCACTGTGTATCCTTCAAATTTTCGGTGTTTGTTCTCTGGGTGGTTAAGGGGCATCGGTGCCCATTGCGAGGTGCAATTGGTTTGCTTGTCGCATCTATACTCATTATCACTGGGATTCGGAATTCAATGTGGTTTGGAATGAAGATTTTGCATTAAAAAAGGACTAGATGCGTATCGGCTACGGGCAAGCTACGAGAGTGCAGGTATGACATGGGCTTTGGTATTTACAGAGGAAAACAGGGGACAGCACTAAAGCAGTTATGAAGATGGAGTAGTGAAAAGGGTGACAAGACGGTCCACGGGAGTGACGATACAGGGTGGATTGCAATGAGACAGCAGAATACAGAGCAAGAAATTTGGAACAACAGCTATACGTTCACGAAAAGTACATCAGGCGCTCCATGTTCTTGTGGAGAGGCTTGAAGTTGCGGCGGTAGCTCTCAAGGTTGGCGTTTGCCTGCGACGAGTCCATGTTGGTCGTCTGGCCCTCCTCGTTTTCGAACGCGAAGCCCTCTGTGCCGCCGGACGGGTCGTAGTGGTTCTTTGCGCGGGTACAAACAATGTCGGCGTCTGCGACAAACGAATCAGTTTGTAGACACGACGGATGGCGGGGATGGACGTACAGTACACGGGTGCGGGAATGGAGACAGAGCGCGTCGCGCGAGCATAGACGTGGCATAACGCGAACGAGAGGGACTGCAGACCGTCCGGACTAGAATGCAAATGCGCAGTCAATACACAGAAACGAGACACAAACGGAGTGTGACGCACGTGAAATTGTTATCATCATAGAGGACGTTGTAGTGAGCAGGCCTTCACAGACTCGGACATTAGCAACCCACGGGGTGATGAGGGGGGTAAGAGATCAAACCTGCTTGTGCCGAGCAATCCTCCGTGACTTTGGAGGTAGAAGTCGAATTCAACCGGGCTGGTGA